ACCATTAGATAAAAGTTCAAAATAGAGTATTCCTTTATAATCCCACCATACACACAAAAGAACTTTACGTGGATGTAACCCTGGTTTTGCACAGCGTTGAGGTGGCTGATTTCGTTGAGACCAGCTACGTTCCAGTTCAGGGTTTTCGTAAAGTATCCACTTTTCATCATCAGTTACCAGGCGTTTAAGGATGCCTAAGCACTCAAACGTTCTACCTTGACACCATCCCCATTTTTTTAAACATGTATGAATCGTTGTCTTAGGTATTTTCAGAACATTTGACATCTCTTGAACTGTCAAACTTCGTGATTTTTCAACAAGATCCCGAATTTTATCTTCGTCTGTCTGAGGAGGACGCCCGGAGCGCATTTTCTCCGTAAACAGCACATATGTTTTTCGTGGCAATTGTTACAGAACTTCCTTTCCGAAATTCATATAACATGAGATGTCGCAAATGGATACGCATTTCACTCATGATTTTTTACAGCGACACATTCTTCGTAATGATAAAATATAGAATATGTTTCGTGCTTGGAAGTTCCCACTTCTACGTGATGCAACTATCGGCTACCGGCTTTTGATTGGCCAAGCGCGGACTGGAGGGGAAATGCGCAACTGTAAGTATAAAAGCGCGGTGCCAGGAGAATCAAGCATCCACTTAGTGGTCGCTGTTTCACTGATACTGATCTAGTTACGCAATGACTGGCCGTGGTAAGGGAGGAAAAGGATTGGGAAAAGGAGGAGCAAAGCGTCATAGAAAGGTTTTGCGTGATAACATCCAAGGTATCACCAAGCCAGCCATCCGTCGTCTTGCTCGTCGTGGCGGTGTGAAGCGTATTTCTGGATTGATATACGAAGAAACGCGTGGTGTATTGAAGGTGTTCTTGGAAAACGTTATCCGAGATGCCGTAACCTACACTGAACACGCCAAGAGGAAAACTGTGACGGCTATGGACGTAGTCTACGCCTTAAAACGTCAAGGAAGAACTCTTTATGGGTTTGGTGGTTAATTTCTCTTGCCGCATTCACCTCCTCACAATCAAACGGCCCTTATCAGGGCCAACAATATTTACGACGATGGAATTTTCTGTTTCGAAGAACTCGCTGTGAAAATTGATAAAGCACTGGTGGATTTCCAATCGCTCATCCTTACATATTGTACGCCCATTTTATGTGTCACAAGTTTTTAGTGCTCTTTTGAAATGGCGGTATCTCTGAGATATATATAGTTTTATTGAATTATCTTTTGGAATCCATGCTTGTGTTGCGAATTAAATAAAAATTTTTCTTGGATTTGTATATGCGTAATAAAAAACCTAACCTATAAAACATACATACATACATACATCCATACATCCAACTTTTCAAGTCGATAGTTTCCTAAGCTTATTGAAATTTAAAAATTATTTAAAAACGAAAAATTACGTAATTTTTTAATCCTAGACATTACCCTCTGGATTTAAATGTTAGATTCAACTAGAATCAAACATCAATAATCATTTATTATTCACGTTATAGTACCACGCCAGAATAATTTACTTATAATTCCCAATGAGAATTGATTGTAAGCTACTTCCAAATAAAAAAAAAGTTTCTCAATCCCAAAATATACGCTATTTCACGTTTGAGAAAGATTAAAAGTTTTCTTTACAGACTGTGTGTAGAGATCACTTTTCTGTTTCACTCACACACTATTGAACTGTTGTCAATCATAGAATATAAAAATATTTATATATCAGTTTATAAATAATATATATGCATGTACCGTTAATAGAGGAAGCGGGATACAAAATACACTTTAACAGAGAAATATGCATTTTTAACCCTTCCGCCACGAACGTCGCCTATAGGCGGCATCCGCGTGACGACCTGAGTGTACGAGCGTCGCCTATAGACGACGTCCGCGGAATACCACTTAACCATGAGCCCCGCGCAACGTATGAACGCTTTCCGTCGCAATGCTCCGTTCAGTACCGCTATTCCGGTGGCACAGTGGCCCGTACAGCGGTGTCATTCCGACGGAGCACACTGTCGTAGCGAAAGGGTTAATATTGCTATGCACACGAAATGTTCTGTGTTTCTCGAAGACCGATAAAAACCTGAATATACGGGCAAAAAGTTCTCGATTGATGTTAAGTATATTTTCAGTGGGGATACCTTTTACTTCTAGCTTTAAAATAAGACGAATTTGTCAAATCCCACGCTAGCTTTGTACTCTTACGATGGTTATTGTTAGCTATGATAAAAACAAGTATTGAAACAAATAACAGGTTCATTCAAGAAATCACTGAGGAAAGTTTTTAAATTAACATTCATAAAAATCTGGACAAATATAGAAAGCTTCTCAACGCGAGAATTGATTGTAATTTTAATAAATAAATAAATAAATAAATAAAAAAAAAAAATAGAAAGTTAGTATATATATGTCGGAGGCAGGTTGGCATTTTGAGGCGTTCGATGAACCTTTACTTACTTTACCGTCGCGAATGTAGCCAATATTTATCAGTACGAATGTGGACACTACCAGAGGCTACGAGTAATGGTAGTAGGATGGTCGAGATGATAATGACAACGAATTCAGGTTCGATAACAAATCCGCGGTCCACGAGAGGACTAGTATCAACGTGCTACTCGATTCGGGTAACTTCCCGATAACTAAATCGGCAATTCGTCCAACGAATTACTAACAAACTAACTCACTCACTAACTAACTCTAATTCCCTTAATCCAAAAGAGCCTGCCGTTATATACTCCTGTCCCCGCTTCTCGGGTTAATCTTTGTTTTAAGGAGAGCAATATAATCATTTCATACCTCTGTCAGGTACATGTCCCTCCCGTGACCGTGGCTACGTCCGGTGACCTGCCATGTCACTTCGAGCCCAAACCCATCGTCGTAAAATCAGATTGGGACATTAAGACTATTTCTTATTTTTATTACTTAAGGGCGGCTATAGTAAAAGTCTGGACTAGTGTATTGGAGTTTTTCCCAACATTCCGGACGGGAAATCCCGCTGTCTTTCCATCTCCGACATATATATGTCGGAGACGAAAGGCCACCAGAGCTTCCCTCTGAAACTTCGGGAAAATTCGTAAGATTGTAATTAAAGTTTACAGTTGTAACTAAACAATTTGCCGTCAGTCTGCCCGATTGTACTTGTTGGCGATTAGTGATAATAAACTTGGGCTCAAGGCGACCATCAGCCGTCGAACGTAGCCGCGGTCAACGGGACGGGCGCTTCATCTAACAAAGGTATGGAGCGATAGTATGACCCTCATTAAAGGAAATATACCATAGAGGTATCTGACAGTAAAATATGGCAATGGTTCCTTCGGACAATGAATACCTGATGTTGAGGCACGTACACAGCACAAGTCCAGTTAGCCCGAGGACCCGCTATAAAACCTGGGTTTTTCCGGCAATTGAGATTTTTGCAAACGGACGCTTCTCTGACATATATGTTTATGTGTATCTTATTAGCAATGTAATATAATTTAGTGCATTGTGTCTTCATGAACATAAATTATGAGCCGATTTTACTCCAATATTTAAGGAAATATATACAATGTTATATACCCGTTAAGTTTTTTTTCTTTTTTTATTTATTTGTTAAAATTACAATTAATTCTCGCGTTGAGAATTTTCAGTAATGTTAAGTTAATCTCGTTAAGTTAATCAAAAATTTGAGAAGAATATTCAGTCCCATTTTTCAATTTGGAACACTGTCATTAATGCTTCAATGAGGAAGTAATTCTTTTACAAATATCCATTTAAAAAACTGCAAACCAAAACATGTAAACTTATTTCTAGCATTCATGATAATTATTCTACAATAACAATTTTTCTGGAGAATAATAGAATTCTTTCGAAAATATTCACAAAATTATTCAACGTAGTTATGTAGCATATATTTTATGTAAGTATTGCACTTCTCATACATATTTTTTTTTTTTATTTATTTGTTGAAATTACAATCAATTCTTGCGTTGAGAATTTTCAGTAATTTTTCTGGCGTGGCGCAGTGACATGGTTGTTCTCATACATATGCAAACGATTTTCTTTATCATCTTCTTTTTCATCTAACATTTTCTTTTGCATTTCGTATATTTTTCTTTTGTAAGTAAGTAAAAGATTTACATAGTATTCAATACGAAATCATTCGTGCCCGCTTATTCCAGAGATTATTACGTCACGAATTATATCATACTTATTACGTGCTCATTACCTAGAACGATCTTATGTTCATAGAAATTAGAAAAACATTGTCTTAGTAATATAAAATGTATTTTAGTGATATTTACTCGCGTGTTAAGATCAGTTGCGTTTTTACATCTGCTTAAATACCGAAAACGACGAAGACTTGAAAACCTTGTACATTCCTAGACTCGATTGACCTTTTTGGATCTCACGATAATGCCACTCAAAGAATTCTCCAATTCTCGACAAGATATTCTAATCAGTCAAATGAAACGACGCTTGGTTACATGAATGTACATTAATGGAAATTTGAAGTTCTTGGAGTTTGCTTAAACAAGCCGTCTTCATTCTTTTCTTACTATTAAACTGTATTATGTGATATGTATTGTTACTTTTTCTTATTTAAAATATTACGTTTCAAATAATGCTTTTTATTAGGTTTACAATTGTTATATTTCTATTAACAATCCAAACATGATTTACGACGAGCAACATCATGTATTAATCAATATTTTTTATTAAATTTACAATTGTTATATTTATATTAACAATCAAAGCATGGTTTACAAACAAGCAAAATCACGTTTTAACCAATACTTTTTATTCAATTTATAATTGTTATATTTTTGTTAACAATGATAATATGATTTAGGACAAGTAAACGCATAGGTTGAGTACCAGCAGCGCACCAATCAGAGAACGAGAAGCGCAGCGTGGCTCGTGATTGGTGCGCTGCTGGCCACGTTTGACTGGTATAAAGGCGCTGCTGTTCCGACGCTCGACATCATTTTCTATCCAAGTGTGGAAGAGAACTCTTCGCTGTTTTCGTTTTTTCGTGTAAACAATCTTTGAGAGAAAAGATGTCTGGACGTGGAAAAGGTGGCAAAATCAAGGGAAAGGCGAAGTCTCGTTCGAATAGAGCAGGATTGCAGTTCCCCGTTGGTCGTATTCATAGACTGCTTCGCAAAGGAAATTACGCAGAACGCGTTGGTGCTGGTGCACCTGTTTACTTGGCGGCCGTCATGGAATATTTGGCTGCTGAAGTTTTGGAATTGGCTGGTAACGCAGCCAGAGACAACAAGAAGACAAGGATTATTCCAAGACACTTACAACTTGCCATCAGGAATGACGAAGAATTGAACAAACTCTTGTCTGGAGTCACTATCGCCCAAGGTGGTGTTTTGCCAAATATCCAAGCGGTACTGTTACCTAAGAAAACTGAGAAAAAGGCATAAGCTGCTTTTTCCCACTACTTAAAACTTACAAATCGGTCCTTTTCAGGACCAACAATCGTTCTTACAAGGAACAGTCTCGAACTAAACTATTCAGATTAATCATTTTAAAATCGTAGATTCTGTTCGAGTAAACTATCATCATATCGCTCAATTTACGTAATATTTGAACAATATGGTTGATATGCTGACATGGAGTGCAATAGAGTATAGAAGAGGTTAGGTATATAATATCGAATACTATAAAGAATTATTAGTTTCAATAATCTGAAATTAATTTAAGAACATTTCATGATTTTGCGACATATACGCGTCCTGAACACATACATTACCTCTCCCATCCTACCGTTTCTTTACGAATGTCTACAATAGCATGACAAATCGATAGTACTCCGATAAAATAGCGTCTACTCAAAGGATAAGCAAAACCGCGGATTAAAGCTTCGATTCAATCTTACTATACGGCGCTAGTGTATCGTGAGAGCTTACGGCGAGCTAAACAGATCTTAAGAAAATAATCTCTGAAAGACCTCCTTTGTGTAAGATCATTGAACTTTATTCGGCGAATAATACGCAGTTAAAGTATACATGTTCACTTATCGAATAAAATGTAATACTAACAAAATTTCGAATATCACATTCTATGTGCATTATTTTTCGTGCGATCTACTGCAAAGCCTGAATTGTGGTTAGTTACGATTCTTCGATCTAAACGATTTGACTAATAAGAAGAAGAAAGGAAACTTGAAAATATAGTAGAAATCAAGTAAATAACAAAGTTTGACTTGAATATTTCTTTCGCCTTTTTACTCTTCTTCATCGCTGAAAAATAAATTAATATTTAATAATTGAATAGAACTAACTTTCAAAGATATTGATAAAAGATCAAAGATTAGAATTAAAAATAAGCAAGTCCCTTTGCGAGAACATATACAAACAATAGAAAGGAACGAAATTTGAAGGTTGTTCAATCCCTCCACTGACCCGACGCAATATTTCCATTCTGCTCGAGTAAATCTCTCTCTGGTGTAGTGTCCGTGAGACAAAAAAGACGAGGTCGACGGTTGGAAGTTGTCAATGCCATCGAGAATGGTGGACGATCGGCGCGTGAACGTTCGAAGGCGGAGGGGCCTCGGCAAACCGCGTCTATCTCATGCAGACGAAGCGTTACCAGGTGACTCAACTATACTCGTGTACGTCGGTTTCAAAGCGCCGAAAGAAAGGGAAAGTACCCGGGACATCGAAGCATGGGAGCCTAGCGTGCTCTCAGTCCGCGGAAAGCGACTGAACGCATACGAGAAACGATTCTGCGCATCAATTCTGTCGCGCATTCGTGGAGATCGCGATCGAGATTCGTGGTGACACGTTGTGGACCGTTGGAATATCGTTGATCGGATCCTCGTGTGGCGGTCGGTGGCGATTTTCTGTGACGCGGATCGTACTGGATCGAGAAATGGTAAGGAACGATCGATGTGCATGAATCTTTGTTGATGTTCTTTTTAGCGTGGTAGACATCTTGCTCTTTGGAATTCTTGTATATTTAGGACGTATTTACACACGTATTTAACGATCGTTTAACAGTTTGCGATTGTTAGCATTTGACAGTGAAAGATCAAATATTCCGAAGGATTAAAGTTGTGCTCTGTGCTGAATTCTTGTTGGAATTTGGCGCGGAGTTTAAATTCTTTTTTGATATACGATAGTCAGACTGTGGAAACGTTTTATAAAGGTTATTCAGAGAGAAAAATTCGATGGGGGCCATTTTTATTTGTTTACGAGGTTCCTCAAGGAACGTTCAACGCACGAGGTAAATGCATTTCGTTCGATATACATGTGCTCCGTGGACTTTTTACGAGGCAAGGACACCACGATATCGGAGAAGAGATCGAAAATCTGAAAGTCGTTCGTGTACCGTATCCATACTGTTGCTGTAATTGATATAAACCAATAACCAACCCGAATTAACCAACGATCGAATCTCTTGTTTCCTAATAGTGCAGAATTTGAACACGTTAAAATAGCATGTAAACATTCAAATTGTACCTTATCGACCTAGCGAATAAGTATCGATTGCAACATTATGTTGCGCAAATTGTGAAAGACCTTGAACATAGATTGGTTTTCGGTCTTTGATTTGAAAGCTATTTCGTTCGATAAGTTTTTGACTAATCAGTTATGTACATAATAAGTTAACTACTTAAATTGAAATTAATTAAATAAATTATCTAACAGTACGTCGCATAATTTATATACCGATTCGATAAATCATTTCATAATTATTCGAGACACAGAAAATCATAAAAATATCGTAGAAATATTTCTGATAAACAGAAAACGAAGTCAGAGTTGTTTCGGTATTAAATTACAATATCTCAACGAGGTTAATCGTATCTTCGTTAATGGCGGTACAGTCCGTAACCACGTACCTCACGATCTACACCGGATAATAGTATTATGTTAGTATTACGCAATAGCGAAAATTTCACTTTCCGCGGTACGGTCGCGCGCACGAGCGCCCCAAGATAGCGAACTCGCTTGCACGTCGTGTATGCGTTACCTTTGGATACCGGCATAGATTTTTATCGTTCGTTCGTGCTCTCGTCTCCTGTCTCTTTTCGAAGCTTTTTTACACCGTCTGACTTGATCGCCGTGGCTTGCCCAACCGGTCTCTCTATCAAAACGCGCGTATACTTAGCCATACAAGGACGAGCATGTCGACGCGCGCATGTTCCATAGACTATGAATGATGATTTTCGAGTTGAATATACTTCTCGATATTTGAAACAATGCGATTTAGTAATTTTATTATATATTGTTATTAAATCAATTTTCGATTTCTTTTATTTGCATGGATGAAACAAGGAACGAATAATAATAGGCTGCAATGGAAAAATTATTCAATTTAGAATGAAAATGATATTATTTCGAAGAGTATCTGACATAAAAGAAATTTTATAGATATTTATTACAATAAATTTATAAAAAAGTTTAAAGCTCGAGATGGCTTTTCCAGAGTCTCCAGAGTCGATGACTATTCAAAAAATTTTTTAATAAATAAACTTTCCATCTTCAACAAAAATAATTGGATATATCGTAAGTAATGTTCCGCTCTAAAGTCTTCGCTTTCTATGTTTCATTAACACTATGCATGAAATTCGAGGTATCACAATGAAAGAATTACACAACAGTTACGAACTTCGGTTGCGTAATCGACGACCATCTATAAACTAGCTCGATCGCGCGGAAAGGCTTAAATGCAACTACGAACACCATTCTTCCATTTCTCAAACACCACGGTTCGATAACCGCGCAGAAAAATAACCGATACGATTGGTTCGTAACATTTTATTGTCAACGGTTTACTGCGCAATCTAGCGTCCATTGTTCCGTATATCGTACGGAAGACTGGCTCGCCTCTTCGGTAAAACTCGTCGTCGTCGTCATGATGCAACGGATAAAGAAGTGTATCCTTGAAATAGGCGCTTAAACGATAGTATGCTAGGAAGAAAAATTAGAATATCATCCTAATCGTTAGAACGTATAGTATATAGTATATAGACCGTCTTTCGCGTTACAATTACAAAATTCGAATTAGTTATTTATTAATTATTATTATTATTATTATTATTAATTATTAGCTATTTATTAATTAATTATGCATTATATATTTATATATCAGTTAGTTTCATAACTTTACGGTATTATTTTAACGAAATTTTCAGATTCCTTTGAAATGTTATCAATAAAATCGCGATAATCATGTCTGATAATAGTGGCAGTAAGATTTTCGAAAATTTCCTACCTTTTATTTTCTATATTAAGTTTTCAAAAACCTTGAAATTCGCTGCAGGTTTCGATTATGATTAACCTAAATCCGTGGATTTCAAAGTGTTTGTTTCATAGCATATGCATAACGCGGAAGGAACACTATCTAACGTTTACGTTTTATATGCTGTTTATTCTTACGCAATCGGGAAGAAAATATCGGAGTATATGTGAGAATATAAGCTACGTAATGTTATAAGAACCTGCGATTGAATTCATGACTAACGATTTTCTTTTTTTTAGGAGTTCTTCGATTAATCGATCATACATGGAGGAATATCGACCGATTATGATTCCAAATACGTATTGTCTTCGTGGAATGGAATTACCTCAACGAACCACAGATGCTTCAGAATTTCTGCGTGCCTGACATCGCCAATTCGGACTCACGATGTTGGAACCAGTTCTTGGAATATCGACGGTATGGTGGTTGGTGGTGTACGCCAGTATTCTGCTGCTGCTGTCGCCCTTGGTGCTGATCTTCATCGTATTGCTACCGAATTTCCCGATATTGTTGGTCAGAAGAATGTGTTACATTCCGATCGAGTCTATTTGACAAATTGAATCGTCGATTCTTAGAGATCGTACCTCTTTAATCCCCTGTGAGTTTCAATGTTAAAATTTCCTACGGTTTAACGGTTCGGTAAGTCGACGATTGAATTGCAGAAGACTGTTGAAAAATGCATTATTGTGCTCGAAAATTCAAAGCATGGCAAGAGTTACGATAGTCTTTGATAATTCTATGAAAGTACAGAGTTAGCTTTATGATTGTAATTTCGAGCATACAACGAGAGATTGTAGATTGAAAAAAGAAAAGAATTTATAGTCCCCTAATAGATATCTGCACAAAGATATGATACTTGGGACAATGACCATGGAATAAATGGTCGCGGTTGAGAACAAACGTATCTATTTTCCGTTGTTCCATTGTTCGATCAAATCAAAATTAGTCGTAAAGTTAATACTCTATTATGTATCTTAATTTAAAGCGCTCTAATTAGCTATCTACTTCTTTATTTAGGTATACAGATTATTAGGACCATTATTCGTACCGTATAATTTATCATTCCCTTTTTATACGACGATTAAGATGCACCTTGGAATTGTCAAGTATACGCACGATTGATTGGGAATGAATTATAAAGCACTGTCTATCGAAACACCGTTATTTCTGTTTATTTGAATCAACATTTAAACACGATTCGATCGTCCGTTCAGTTCTTCTCCTGTCATGATTCTTTCGTTGCCGTTGCCAAGATTTCGCCATAGCTGTCGCGTGTAGAACGAGTATACCAGACATGTAAAGCCGATATAACGGGAACGACGTTTCGCAAAGTGCGAGCAACACGAAAATTTCGAGAGATCCACCAGTTTTCGAATCCGGTAACAGTAGCGTCGTTGATTCTTACGTCACTGAGCTGGTTTATACGTTCGTCTCGTGTGCACAGCCAGCATTTTTATACATAAACATCTGGCCTACGTGAGAACCGAGCAGCTCCAGAGGCACGTGCTGACCATTCTTAGTTGAAATTATCATTTTGAAACGTTCGAGAAAGCTGAACTAATAATTTTATTATCTTTTTACCACATCTTTGTCTTTCTCTATTCGACTTAAGACATTCACTGCTTATTTCGTAGCTGTATATCTGTAATTAAAAGGTAAAGGACATAAAATTCTTAGGCAAACGCGAAAGGAAAGGTTGTTCGGACAGTTCATAACGTTTTTCACAACCAATGTGTCGTGTGACAGATTCTAATAGAATTGGAAGAAGATTATTTTATCATGAATTTTACTAAATAATAAATTTCGCTACGAACTTTCTCAATAACTTAAGGGTTTCGATACATTTTGAAAAACGAGAACACGTTACATAGATAGGATAATCGAACCAATACCTTTACCTGGATTTTCTCGAGCGTTGATATTTTTCCCCGAATGTCCTTTAATTTTCCTTTCATTAACGAGATTATTATGTAAACGGTAGTGTGTATGTGTGTCATTGAACGTTCACCATTTATCTTGTTAGTCATTCGGTTTCTTTCTTTCTTTTTTCATGAACTTTGAGAACGAATTATTTTTTTATTCGTCATAAATGGCATTTGCTATCGATTGGAGATTGAATGATTAGCGCGTGTCAGTTCGTTGCTGATTTCGTGATACGCGAGCGTGTACGGTCACTGTCACGAATCGATATGTGTATCTCATTAAATCGGACAATCCATGTGTCTAACAACGATCGAGGTCCTTATGTTTATTTCTTTTTTCTTATTTCTTGAAACATTTTAGTTCGTTCGCAACGTACGGGTTGTAGCGTAACGAATGGCCTACTAAATGTGAAATATTATTTTTAACTATCAATAGTATTTATTGAAAGGAAACATTCGAGCCGTAGCCACGTGGAAGAAAAAATTCTTATAGCTACAATTAAGTACCCTCACGTACGTCATTAATCAAGCAGTTACGAAAAGATCGACCGTACCCTTTACATGAGACGTGTTTGGGCCATTATCCCTCTAGTAATTACTTCTTCGCCGGTTGTCTTTATCAGAAACTGTAAATCGTTTGCCTTGTCCAAAGTCAATATTTCATTGCTGGCATTTTCATCATCAGTAACCATCGTCGTTCGTTAATACGATTTATTTTTCTATAAAATACAAATTTTACTTCTCGCAGGATGGAACATATTAATACTAGTATTACTCTTATCTATTTACTTCTGAAGAATGTTTCAAGTTCAATATTCTTCCAATTTTTCGAATTTGAAAATTACAAAATCTCCAAATATTCGAATTTTCAAACTTTCAAATTTTCAAGCTTCCAAACCTCTGAAGAATGTTTCAAGTGCAATATTCTTCGAAGTTTTCGAATTTGAAAATTACAAAATCTCCAAATATTCGAACTTTCAAA